ATAATTTTGATTCAGATAAACTACTTCTTAAATAGCTAATTTTTCTTCAGCCTTTGGAATAACATGGTGTCTTACAATTACATGGTATCTATAAATTACTGCAATGTTTTCTAGTTACCTCTATTTCAAATAAAGGATGTCTCGTTATTTTGGGAAAAGAAACAAATGTCTTTGTCCTTGTGCCAATGAAAATGAGGTGATCTCAAATTCAGACAGATTGAAGATCTGGTTCTTAAAAAGGTGGCTCCCTAAAACAATATTAAATAAAAAGCAGGCGAGGCATGGTGGCTCATGCCTGTAATCTCAACATTTTGGGAGGCCAAGGCGGGTGGATCACCTTAAGTCAGGAGTTCGAGATCAGCCTGGCCAACATGGTGAAACCCCATCTCTACTAAAAATACATTAAAAAATTAGCCGGGCCTCGTTGCACGCGCCTGTAATCACAGCTACTCAGGAGGCTGAAGCAGGAGAATCGCTTGAACCCAGGAGGTGGAGGTTGCAGTGAGCCGAGATCGTGCCACTGCACTCCAGCCTGGGTGACAGAGTGAGACTCTATCTCAAAAAACAAGGTGCAGTTAGAAATTGGAAGTATGCTTTCCATTTCACCAGAACTCCTATTTGGAATTTTGCCAGTAAGTCAGAATGTTCAGTATCTGGTGACTAGAGGATTTTAATACAAACCGTTTAGAAGAAAGAATGAAACATGGCGTTGCTTTCTAATATATGACGTCAACTCCCTAATTAAATTGTCTTTTCTGAAGAGCAGTCAGACATGTTGGTATGAACCCAATCAAAGTTATGTGACTTTACATCTGGGCTTTTTAATTGCCACTTTGATGGAATGTAATAGATAGTTTCACTCAGGGATCTTGCTTTGTTATCTCTAATCTGTCATTTTGATTTGGTAATATACATGATGTCTCTAGCTTCAATTCCATTCCCTTTTCAATTTACATTTGAGGTTTGGACATGTGTGAATTTGAAATAAATTCATGTTGGATTTAGTATTCTTCGACTTTTGACTAGCATTAGCCTTTCCCTGAAACACTTGCTATTAATAAGCTACAATTTCAACACTAGTTCATTGCACAATAATTGTAAGATAATGTACCATTTTTGTAAGGTAATGCACAATTATTGATGTTTGTACCTGCCCAGGATCCTTTTCCCCTTCCTGAGACAAAACTCACATTCTCTTCCATCTTAGTCTAGGTGGCTGGGGTACGTGAGCCCCTCCTCCTGATGCCAGGACAGGGCATGTGAGGAGTATCGTATCAGTGTATTGTATCTCTCAAGGATGGGCAGAGTTAAGAGATGAGAAAATGAAAGAGCCTTAATTACTTAGAGCCTAGATCCAGCTGGCCCAGAATCCAGTCTATCTTGGAGTCCCTAATTACGTAAGCTTACGTCAGTTTCAGTTAGTTTTCCTATTACTTACAATAGACAGAGTTCTCACCGTAACAAATAGCCTTAGAATATATTTGTTTGGCAGTACCTCAAGAAAGATTTCCCTTTAGTTTATCTCTATTTTGCTAAGTTCTTGAAAGTAGATATAAGTCACTTACTACAGAAATTTCAAAGATGACCCAAAAAAGCACATTCAAGGGCTTGTTGTTTCTACTTCTGGGTTGGTAACGCTTACTCACACATTACCGTCAGGAAATCTTATTTGTAAGCCAAAGTTTCTATTATCAGACATGTTTCTGAAATCTGGGTTTGCATTTCATTTTATGTTTTGTTACTTTGTCTCCTTTTTCTAAACTTTCCATGCATCTGCTTTAACATCTCACAAGAGGGAGAGGGAAAGTGGACTGTCTGAGATGAACCTCTTCAGTAGGAAAAAATAATTTCACTAAGCCTGGTCCTCCTATATTGCACCACAATTTACATTACTGTCCTTCTCCTTCCTGTTCCTGTTTTTATGTAAGAATTTACTTTTATATAATAATTTCTTTGATTACTAAGACACATTAATTAAACTGCTCTTGGCTGTAAGCAGAAAACCCCAACTCAATTGACTGAAGCAATAAGAAAAAATCTATTTCACATACCAAGACGTCTAAGTGGGAATGACTTCATGGCTAGTTAATTCAACAACTAATTGATGGATGTCTTCTCTTTCTACTTTGCTGTCTTTGGGAAAGTGTCTGTCATTTAGCAAGATGCCCGAAGCGGTGCTAGGCCTTATTGCACAATGTCTAGGGAAAAAGGAACTGCTTCTTCCCATGTGTCTGTTTTCATCAAAGAAGAAATGAAATACCATTGACCAGAGCTGTATCATGTGTTCGTGAATAAGCCAGTTGCAGACAAAGGGAATGGGAAAATATTATTGGCACTGTGGATGGGACTAGCCTCCTCTAAAAAGAGGCCATATGAGGGAGAGGGAATATCTGAGGACAGCAGTTGGGAAGGTAACCAAGAACTCTGTCCAGTGTTAGCTTCATGGCTGTGCATCTTGTGCAGTTGCACAGATCCCACTCCCAGAAAATCTCTGTTGTTAGTTTAATGCTCTGCTATCATGACATTCCTCCTCCTCCTCCTCCTCCTCCTCCTCCTCCTCCTCCTTCTTTTATATGGAGTCTCACTCTGTCACCCAGGCTGGAGTGAGGTGGCACAATCTCAGTTCATTGCAGCCTCCGCCTCCCTGGTTCAAGTGAGTCTCCTGTCTCAGGCTCCCGAGTAGCTGGGACTACAGGCATGCACCACCACGCCTGGCTAATTTTTTGCATTTTTAGTAGAGATGGGGTTTCACCATGTTGGCCAGGCTGGTCTCAAACTCCTGAGTTCGAGTGATTCGCCCGCCTCAGCCTCCCAAGGTGCTGGGATTACAGGTGTGAGCCACTGCACCCGGCCTATCATAATATTCTTAATAAGTTCTCAATAAGGGACCCTAAAAATTATGTGGTCTGTCTTAGTTCTGGCACGTCAAATAACTATGCCAGGAGATTGGTAGAGTGTCATCTTCATCTTTTTCATTTTCATCTTCCCTTGGAGAATTGTGAAATAAAATTTTGCTGTGCAGAAGTGAAGCAAAAGAAGCCAAGAGAAGGTGGAAGGTAGTAGCTACTTATGTAAAGAAGAAGCAGTCAGTGCAGATGTGAGCAGTTAAAAAGAGAACAGAAGGGATGGAAGACAGAGAGCGGAAAAGACAAGAAAGACACATACCTTGGGGATGAGCCAGAACAGGCCAACATTTTCTTCCTAGGGGGCTTACGCCAAAGAAGATTGCTTTCTCTTGGAATTGTAATCTTTGTCTAGGCAAATGCTGTGATTAGCTTTATAGCTGTTTAATGATCCTTATGTTTGCTTACAGTTTCTGTTTATTTTTAATCTTTCTGTCTCTCTCTCTGTGTCTCTTTTTAGCTCTTTGTTTCCTTTCTCATTGTATTCCTTGTTTTTTTCCTACTCTCTTTAGTTTTTCTGTTCCAGGGCTGCTTTCCTCACATCAGTTATAGCTTCTCTCCTCTTTTTAAGAATAGGTTCTACTGTTAGGTAAAAGGGACCTACCTTCCCTGAATGTGAAAGGCTTGGTGAGAACATGGAACTTGAGCTGAACCCTAATGAAATCCTCTGACCTACTACAGGAATGCAGCATACTTCTCATTGCTGTTTCCATGGTTGACCCCCGGAGTCACCCCCATTTCCAGGAGCGGGTATGTGAGATAAACCTGGTCAATCAGTCCAGTCCAGTCCTTGGACTTGGTGATTATTTGAGGCATGGACACCTTCCTCAACCATCTTGTAAGTAAAATTTAGCTCCGATGTATCTTCCAGAACCACTGGTAAAGAGGTGCTCACTACATTCTGGAGTTCAGAAACTGATACGTTATAAACCTGGAGCTGCTGGCTGACACTTTTCTCATGACTTGGTTAGAGCCTAAGAATGAAGGCAGCACAGAAGACAGCAGAGCTGAGAGGCGGAGAAAGATTTAAAATATATATTCAGCTTTTGTTTTAGATTCAGGGGGTACATGTGTAGATTTGTTACATGAGTATATTGTATGATGCTGAGGTTTGGGATACAAATGATTCTGTCACCCAGGTAGTGAGCAGAGTACTCAATAGGTAGGTTTTCAACTCTTGCCCCTGTTTCTTCGCTCCTCTATCTAGTAGTCCCCAGGGGAGAGACAGATTTGTAATGACAGCATTTGAGCACTCAAGTTCATGTGAGCCTGAACTCTCACCCAGACTTTCAGTTATGAGAACCGACTAATTCCCTTTTTTATTTAAATCTATTTAATCAGGTAACTTTTAATTTAAAGAGATCTTACTGATACACATCACTGCCACCACTAGACAACAAACCCGTGCAAGTATTTTCAGCCACTTTCTAGGAAAAGATGTGTTTTCAAGGAAACTTTGTTATCTTTCCAGTTGTTTAAGACTTAGAACAATAACGAACAATAAACATAGCCCATGCTTGGGAACATGCCTTCTGACTCATCTGGACTAATCAGACCCAGAGGATTCAATCAATAGAACTGAGCGGGGTCTGCTCATCTGCTGCCTGCCAGGTGGAGAGGATTGTTTGTCCTCACAAGTTAGCAGAACTCCGGGAGGCAGCACAGTTGAAACTGATGTGACACTTGGTAAACAACACAGATCAATTGAAAAGGTGACTACACCGGCCGGGCGCGGTGGCTCAAGCCTGTAATCCCAGCACTTTGGGAGGCCGAGACGGGTGGATCACAAGGTCAGGAGATCGAGACCATCCTGGCTAACCCGGTGAAACCCCGTCTCTACTAAAAAATACAAAAAACTAGCCGGGCGAGGTGGCGGGCGCCTGTAGTCCCAGCTACTCGGGAGGCTGAGGCAGGAGAATGGCGTGAACCCGGGAGGCGGAGCTTGCAGTGAGCTGAGATCCGGCCACTGCACTCCAGCCTGGGTGACAGAGCGAGACCCCGTCTCAAAAAAAAAAAAAAAAAAGAAAGAAAAGAAAAGGTGACTACACCAAAAATCGTTAACTCATATACATGGCAGAAATGACTTCAGGCAGGGGAGAAGGTGAAAAGGACAGAGATTTTTAATCAGGTTATGAAAAAACAATCTCGATAAAGAGGCAACATTAGAAAACAAATTTTATTCTCTTAGAACTTGCACATAGCCTTCCATTTCACCTGCTCTCGAGTTCCATTAGCTTTCTTCCCTGTAGAAATAAAAATGAAAACAAGACAGACAAAAAAAATTATTGTTGTTAATCATCATTTAGGCTAAAGTCTATTTTCTGGCAATCAGCCCCATTAACTACAGATACTTTTTGAAGAATAAATATATTTCTAAATTATATTCATTATCTTAACGTCACCACTATCCCAGATTCCAGCATTTCAAATTCCTAAATTTAGGAAGCAAATTATCGTTGTATATGCTTTATTTTACAAGAGTCCAATGTATACAAACCCTCACTTTTTTCTTTCTTTCATGGATAAACTTCTCAAAAGTTGTTCTACATTTACAGTCACCTCTTCTTCACTTCACTGCCCTGCTTCTGGACAGCTGGACCCGCCTATAACACCTTGAAGGCAAATTGGGACAACCCCACTGGAGCTCTCTGAAATTCCCCAACTTCTCTTTCTGTGTTGCAACTTGCTTTCCTTGAAACCTTCTGTTCCCACCTTGTATCCTTAATCTGCAGCTCCAGCTTAGACCCCTTGAGACTTGACTTCCCTACGGCTTGAAATCTTGCTTTACTTAAGTGACTATAATCTGATTCCCTTCTCTGTTTCCCACACATGCATCTCTTTTTCTGCTTTGAGGAGGAAATTCTGCCCTGAACTTTAGTGCTAAGGAACCCACCCCAGACAACGCAAAAGGCAGGGTGGGGTGAGTCAGAGTGTCTGGAGGCCCAGGCAGGTGAGGATAAGGGCTGGCAAGGGGGAGAAAATTTGAATCCCACTTTCAATTCACTTCTCTAGTACTCTGGCAGAGTCAACAATGACCTTGTATCTGTTCAATCCTGTGAAAATGTTCCAGAAACCAATTATGCTAGCCTTCCCTGGACCTTCTGATATTATTGGCATTTCTCTTTCCTGAAATAGTCTTCTCCTTTGGCATTTTTCCTCCTTAGGCCTCTAAACACACACCTTCTCCTGCTTATCTTTCTTTTCCTCTAACCATTCCTTCCTTTTCAGGTTTCCCTGGTTCTACATTTACTCCTCTTCTCTTTTCACTTCACTGATCTTCCCAAGTCATTTCATCCATCTCTTGCATGACTTTGACCTATACCTCCGTGCCCAGTGTAGGTGCAGGTCAGACCTTTAATTCTGTCCTGTTCTTTCTTCTGAGTCCCAGACTTGTGTATCCGATATGTATACTGAACAACTCCACATGGATACTCACAGATTCCTCCTCCAAGATGCTCAATACCTTACTCATTAAATCCATTCCTCTTCATCTGCCACCAAGTTACCCTTCATCCTACATTCCCTATTTTAGTAACTGGCATAACAGTCCCTCAATAGTGCAATTCAGAAACCTGTGAGTGCCACTAAAATGCAAGTCCTGTCAACTCAACCTCCCAAATAACTCTGCATCTCCTCCACTATATTAGGCTCTTGTTTTCCTTGCCTTAACTACTGCAATGACTCCACAGCAAGACTTTGTGTCTCTAGTCACTTTTCCTTCTAACTTACCCCCCAAGTGGCTCTTGGAGTTATTGTAATAAAACAAAATCTTATCACATCACTCCTTTACTGCAAGCCAGTTGATGACACTCTATAACCAATGAGAAAAACATGCTTTAATACATCTCTTAGTTCATATTCTGTTGCTTATAACGAATGCCTGAAACTAAGTAACTATATTATAAAGAAAAGGAATCTATTTGTTACAGTTTTAGAGGCTAAGAAGTCCAAGGTCAAGGAGCCACATCTGGTGAGGGACTTCTTGCTGAAGAAGAGTCCCCAGGTGGCACAGGGTACTGCATAATGAGGGTACCAAGCATTGTCATGTGCTAGCTCGGGTCTTTCTTTTTTCCTTTTATGAAACTACCAGTTCCCCTCTTATGATAACCCATGAATCCATTCATCCATTCATGAGGGCAGACTCCCATGATCCATCTCTTCAAGGCCCCACTTCTCAATACTTTCACACTGGGGATTAAGTTTCAACATGAGTTTTGGAGGGGACATTTAAAGCATGACAATAGTAAAGTCCAGCATCATCTGTACTTTGCTCTCCTTTATCTTCTTTTTTTAATGCTTTTTTTATTTTGAGACAGAGTCTCACTCTGTTGTCCAGAGGTTGAGTGAAGTGGTGCAATCATAATTAACTGCAGGCTCAAACTGTTGGACTCAAGCAATCCTCCCACCTTAGCTTCTCAAGTAGCTAGGACTAAAGGTGTGTGCCACTATGCCCAGCAAAAAAAAAGAAAAAAAAAAAAAGAAAAAAAATATATATAGAGAGAGAGATGAGGCATCTCGCTATGTTGCCCAGGCTGGTCTCAAACTCCTGGCCTCAAGCAATCCTCCCTCATTGCCCCACAAACTGCTGGGATTACTGGTGTAAGCCACCATGCCTGGCCCCATATCTTCTTCATAACCTTCTTACTTAGACACAGCTAGTCTTAAAGAACATTTTTTTCTAGTTCCATTCTTTCACTCAAGACTTTAAGACTACATTGCCCTAAAAGAAATTGAGATTTGTGTTTCATTTCTCAATGACACAATTTCATTTACCTTTTATGGATGAATGTATACATTATCATACATTGATGGCATGAGGGATGAAAAGATAACTCACAAAGTACCCCCAGCAGGGCCCTGCATTAAAACAGTGCTGGTCAGACAATACTCAGTATGTAACTTATTATTTCATACAACTATCTTCACAATTTGGTCCTCTCTACCTATGGAACTTTATCTCCTCCAGCTCCTCCTCTTCACTCTGATTTCTAAAAATAATCTCAGGTTTATTTTTAAATACAAAGACCCCTTAGTATACTTGATTATAATTCAATTTATAAAGATCTAATAGCCATAAAACTTTTGGGGTGAAATATATTACGTAAAGCTGGGCATACTATACAAATAGGTATTAACATTTAGATTTCTCTTTGCAAAGGCCTATATGTTCTGTGACCAGAAAGAATATAAAAAATTGTACTAAGATTGACTCACTCTACTAACTAAAAAAACCTTTAAAGGCAATAAAACGTTTGCCTATTGGAAAGCACCTAAAGAGCTTCAGGTAACCTTACTGGAAGAAGGAGTTTCCTGGGCTCTCCTTGCAGAGGCAATCACAAATCTCCTCATGGAGAACCAAAGAGAGATGTCAAGTCTGAGTCAGAGAGTGAGAGCATTCTTTTTTTTGTTTGTTTGCTTTTTTTTTGTTTTTTGAGACAGAGTCTCACTCTGTCGCCCAGGCTGGAGTGCAGTGGTGCAATCTTGGCTCACTGCAAGCTCTGCTTCCTGGGTTCATGCCATTCTCCTGCCTCAGCCTCCCAAGTAGCTGGTGCCTGCCACCAAGCCCGGCTAATTTTCTGTATTTTTAGTAGAGACGGAGTTTCACTGTGTTAGCCAGGCTGGTCTCGGTCTCCTGACCTCATGATCTGCCCGCCTTGGCCTCCAAAAGTGCTGGGATTACAGACGTGAGCCACCGCACCCGGCCGAGAGCATTTCTTTTTTTTTTTTGTCTTTTTTTTTTTTTTTTTTTCCTTTTTGTGGAGAACGGGGTCTTGCTATATTACCCAGGCAGGTCTCGAACTCCTGGGCTCAAGCTATCCTCCCGCCTCTGCCTCCCTGAGAGCTGGGATTACAGGCGTGAGCCACCGCGCCCGGCCGAGCATTTCTTAAGACAAACTCAATAGTATGTCTAATATGATCTATATTCTTCTGAGATTCTGAGTTGAGAGAAGACAGAGGTAATAGGGAAGTTTTTAGCTACCAAATGATAAAGCAAACAATGAGGCATTAATAATCAAACATGTTTACAGTTCATTCCTTTCACTGGCACTGAATAGAATGCATAATGCAGCAGTTTCATCAAAAGGTCATAATGTGAGAAATTACGCGCTGAACATCCCTGAACCCCTGTAAATGGAGTAATGACTCCATGGAAGAAAGAGTCTCTAGAATTATGATAAATGATGAAAGACTAAGATATTTGGCAAAGAAGTACATATGCAAATTTTAAAAGATACTCGAACTAAGGTATCTTGTTGTTTAAAATTTGAAAAGGGGCATGTTTGTTCGAACACAGAAATAATGTGCTGTATATCCAAGTGATTTTGGAAAATTAAATTGTAAAATATGGTCTAATTATTATTTCACTTTTCTTGGATTAAGGTGGGTTTTTAGTTTACTCTTTTAAAAAAGAATATGCTATAGAATAGAATTTAGATTGTTCACTTTTTCACATAAATCAGCCTCGCCTATTTTCAATTTGTGAGTTATTGGGATTGAGCCAAAGCTGATTTTTTTTTTTTTTTTTTTTTTTGAGACAGAGTCTTGCTCTGTCGCCCAGGCTGGAGTGCAGTGGCACAATCTCGGCTCACTGCAAGTTCCGCCTCCTGGGTTCAAGCGATTTTCCTGCCTCAGCCTCCCGAGTAGCTAGTACTACATGCCACCACGCCTGGCTAATTTTTTTATTTTTAGTACAGACAGGGTTTCACCACATTGGCCAGGTCAGTCTCAAACTCCTGACCTTGTGATCTGCCCACCTTGGCCTCCCAAAGTGTTGGAATTACAGGCGTGAGCCACCGTGCCAGGCCCAAAGCTGATGTTTTTATAGTGAAAACTTGAATACACTTACTAATTCATTTAAAATAATAGTATTCAATTTTATAATGGTAAATATGAAAATATGAAGCTTATGTTCTACTAGAAAAGAAAACAACAATCAAAATAAATATGACAATTTTTGAAAGTGATAAGTGGCCTAAAGGAAATAAATAAGTGGTATGACAATACTAATAACAGTTAACATTGATCAAATACTTTTTATATGCTGGTACTATTCTTTACATGTAATCTTGTAATGTAGGTAGTATTATTAGCCCCATTTTATGCATGAAAAAACTGAGTTACATGGAGGTTAAATAACTTGTCCAAAGTCACGCAGCTACAAAATAACAGAGTGAGAATTTGAAGTGAAGTTGTTTCCTGTGTATTAAATCAATCATCTTGATGAAAACAACTGAAATACTTAAAAGAAACATTTTAAAATTATCAAAATGATAACAAGATAGTTTTTTTTTTTTTTTTTGAAGGCCTAAGGTCAAGGGAAAATGAGAACTCTGGAAGGTAAATGGGTTGAGGAGAAATGGGTACAGAAACTGCTTTTGCTCTGAAGTCATTTGTCAATCTGGATAAATTAGAAGCTTTGTTTTGAAGGCCTTGCTGGGCAAGGGAGATGGCATGATGTGGAGAATTCGTAGAAGATCCTCTCCTAAATAAACTGGAAGCTCCCCTCCACAGAGCTGCACACTCAGGACAGGCATGAACCAGAAGTGAGCCAGCTCAGGAAGAAAATTTAAACCCCTGATTTAATTGCTATCTCAAGACTTCCACTTAGTTTAAGGTGAAAGTGCCCCCCAGAAGCCTAGACGAAGCAAACAAAAATTCTTTCAAACTAAAAGATGAGTGGGCCTTCACCTGTGGGACTCAAATTGTTTACAAATAATTTTTCAAATACAATGTTCTACACACAAAGGAAACCGGCAACATAAATAAACTAGACTTGAGTAAGAATCAAAAATAATAAAAACACAGACCCCCCCACCCCAACAAAGACTTCAGAGGCAAACAGTGAAAGAACTATGCTCACCATGTAATATAAATGAAGATAAGCTTGAAGACATCTGTAAGAAACAGAAAACTATAAAATGTTGCAAAGTGGAGTTTTTAAAAACCTGATCTTCTAGAAATACAATATATGACAACTAAAACTGTAAAAATGTCAATGAATTAGTTTGATGCCAGATTAACCTAAAAAGCTGAAGAGAGAATTAATGAACTGAAATACAGGTTGGGAGGAATTATCCAGAGAACTGTATGGCGAGATATAGGGCTGGAAAATACAGAGGAAAATGAAAGAGAATTAGAGGATATTAGGAAAAGTTCTAGGCTAACATAAATTTAACTTAAGCTTGTCCAATGTGTGGCCCATGGGCTACATGCAGCCCAGGATGACTTTGAATGCAGCCCAACACAAATTTGTAAACTTTCTGAAAACATTATGAGATTTTTTTGTGATTTTTTTTTTTTTTTTTTTTTTTTTTTAGCTCATCAACTGTTGTTAGTGTTAGTATTCTGTGTGACCCAAGACCATTCTTCTTCTTCCAGTGTGGCCCAGGGAAGCCAAAAGATTGGACACCCCTGGTTTAACTGCTATTCTAAAAGGAGGCACAGAGGCAATATTTGAAGACATAAAGGCTAAGAATTTTCTAGAACTAATGACAGACACCAACCTACAGAGTCAAGAAACTCAGTGAATCTCAAGAAATATTAATACAGAACTCCCTGCTTATCCACAGTTTCACTTTGCATGGTTTCAATTAACCACAGTCAACTGTGGTCCAAAAATATTCATGGGAAATTTCAGAAATAAGCAATTCATAAGTTTTAAATTGCATGCTATTCTGAGTAGCATGATGAAATCTTACATCATTCCATTCCATCTCGCCCACCTGGGATGTGAATTATCCCTTCATCCACGTATCCATACTATATAATACCCACCTGTTAGTCACTTAGCAGCTGTTTCAGTTATCAAATAGACCGTCATGGTATTGCAGTGCTTGTGTTCAAGTAACACTAGTTTTACTTAATAATGGTCCCAATGTGCAAGAGTGGTGATGCTGGTGATTTGTATGTGCCAAAGAGAAACCATAAAGTGCTTCCTTTAAGTGAAAATGTAAACATTCTCTACTTAATAAGGAAAGAAAATCATATGCTGAAGTTACTAAGATCAGTTCAGTTATTGTTGTTAATCTCTTACTGTGCCTCATTCATAAATTAAACTTGGTATGTATGTACGTAAATTAAAATCGGTATGTATGTACGTATAGGAAAAACCATAGTATATATAGGGTTCTGTACTATCCACTATCCATACAGGGGACTTCTCTATCAAGAGATCTACCCTTAGACAAATCAGAGTGAAACATCAGAAAACCAAAAACAAAGAGAAATCTTAGAAAGCTTCCCAAGAAGAAAAGACAGATTGCCTTTGAAAGAACAATAACCTGTTAGCTGACTTCACGGCAGTCAGTGAAATGACTATCTTCAGTGGGCTGAGAGGTGTGCAGAGGTCTGATGGTGTTGGGGCCTATAGACCATGGTAAGAAATTT